GTCCCCTAACTCGACCCCTCCTGATACCCACCCACCTGTACCCTGACTACCCAAAACCTTACACCCCAACCCCCAGACAGCCCCCCCCGAACTCCCTGACCCATCCAACCCTCCCCCCTGCTCCCTGTCTCTTGATTACCCCCCCCCAGAACCTCCCTGCCGCTTCTCTGACCCCCGGCTCCCTTACTGTGCTGCAGAGCCCCGTGCTCGACAGCGGGGGAGGGCAGCAGGCTCGGAGCTCCAGGCGAAGGGCCGGTGATCTGTGAGTGCAGGGAGGGGGAGGGGGAGGAGGGGAGTGGTGTCAAGTTTCAGGAGGAAGGAGGGGGAAGTGCAGGCAGGGCTCTGGCTCTGGCTTTTGGAGCACCGGCTGCTTTGTAAGCCGCGCGCACGCTCTGCATGGGGGCGGGGGAGGAGGGGAAGTCCGGACATTGACAAATTCCCCCCGGACGCTATTTTTAACCCGAAAAAGCCGGACATGTCCGTGGGAATCCGGACGAATGGTAACCCTAAGGCTGCGGAGAGGGGGACCAGCTTTAAAAAGGCAGATAACTCAGTGCTCGGTGACACGGCTGATCTCGTGCTGGGAGAGAGACGGCGACGCCAGGGGAACGGGAGATCTCTGGCCGGCGGGGAAGGAATTTAAAAAGGGGAGAGAGGAGTGGGTGAAAAACGTATACGAGAAAGGCTTCTCGACAAGGATAGCAGCCATTAACCAGTTGTCTCCTAAGGGGGTGTGTGGTAGCTATCTGTGCAGATTTTCCAATCCCTCAGCAGAATCGGGAGGAAACTACACAGAATTTAACATGTTTTACATCTAGCTAGCAGCCCTAGCAATCCTGGGGGGAATTTGGAGGAAGCAGCGAGGCTATGCACTGGGAGAAGGGGCATCATCTCGCTTGAGCAATTCGCACTGGTTGGAGTGGGGCAAATGGGTGCTCCCTGGATGCTGAGGTGACAGGACCCGAGAAGTGGATTTTGGGGTGTAGGAGAAAGAAGGGGGGAGACGGCTGTGTTGCGGCTCAGCCTCTGGCTGGGATCCTGGCTTGCTACATTTGATCATCAGATCAAAAGGAGGAAAACCAGGGTAACCCATGTGCTTCCCCTCACATGTGTGTACTCAGTACTTGTGCGTTAGCTCTCGCTCCTGCTTGGAACTGCTCTATTGGGGAGAAGAGCTAGCCCTTTGTATCCTATAGGTGTCCAGCGATCACATCGCCCACAGGATAATGCAGCTACCTCTGGGGTAGAACGTGGCAGTTCTTCAACATTACAGAAGAGTTTGGGACAGAAAGGGAAGAATACCATGGGAGGGAATTTACAGAAGCAGAAAGGCATAGTCTAGGGTTAGGAATATGCCCAAAACACCAGGGCTAACAGTGACCCAAAGTGGTCAAAACCTTGCTCTAACATCCTCACTGCCAGTTCAGCACCCCAAATGCCGTGCTGGGGTATTGGATCGACAACAGGCCAAAGGAAAGTGTGTCACTTGCTGAATGACCAGTGCCGCTTTGGGTTTCCCTAGGAGCCTCTCATCCCAATACTGACCAGAGTTGACGCTCCTGAGCATGGGGCATATGAGAAAATCACAGGCCGAGGCAGCGTGGCTGGATCCGTTGAAACATTTCGCAAATATTTTGGCAATAGGACATAGACAAGACAGTTCAGTGGCCTAAGCCCTCGGTATATTTAGATTGGCAGTGCTTTGGGGCAGGGACTGTCTCTTGCTGTGTGTTTATACTGAGCCTAGAACAATGAGGCTCCAATCTCTACATGTTACTGTAATACAAATACATTAATACTTTTATACACAATATTCAAATAAAGCTTCCTGGGCCATGTTTCTGGGTTGAGTCAGCGTGCAAGTTATTTTCCCCTCCCCTTTTTAATCATTTCTGACCAAGCTCACATTTAAAACACGAATAGGGATCTATTTCGTGCTATCTACTTTTTTGAGCATCTAAAGAATTTCCACATTTAGTCTGAATCAAGTATCAGCAAATCTGGGTAGGACACATGTAATTATTCCAACTGGGATTTGGCTAGGACAGAAGCACTAATTCATACTTAGCACTTATAATTTTCATCTGAGAGGTTTCAGAGTAGCAGCCGTGTTAGTCTGTATCTGTAAAAAGAACAGGAGTACTTGTGACACCTTAGAGGCTAAATAAATTTGTTAGTCTCTAAGGTGCCACAAGTACTCCTGTTCTTTTCATCTGAGAGTACATTATAAATATTAACTAACGAATCGCTAGGGCCAACTCCATGATCTTGCCAAAAAAAGTGCTGTGGGATCTTTAATGTTTCCTCCAAAAGGTGCCTCTCAGCCAAAGCCCTAGCATGACATTGAACAACAAAGAACAACTCACCTTTTGAGTTCCCAACACCATTGACGTAGGCTGGCACATGGGGCTAGACCAGGGGTGGGCAAACTTTTTGGCCCGAGGGCCACATTGGGGTTGCAAAACTGTATGGAGGGCTGGGCAATGAAGGCTGTGCCTCCCCAAACAGCCTTCCCTCTCCCCGACTGCCCCCTTCAGAACCTCCGACCCATCCTACCCCCTCCCGCTTCTTGTCCCCTGACTTCCCCCACCTGGGAACCCTACCCCCTATCCGACCCCTGTGCTCCCAGTCCACTGACTGCTCTGACCCCTATCCACATCCCCGCCCCCTGACAGGCCCCCCCGGGACTCCCACACCTATCCAACCCCCCCTCCCCGTCCCCTGACCGCCCCATCCAACCACCCCCTGCTCCCTGTCCCCTGACTGCCCCCTGGAACCCCCTGCCCCTTATCCAACCCCACGGCCTCCTTACTATGCCACTCAGAGCAGCATGTCTGGCAGCCGCGCCGCCTGGCCAGAGCCAGACACGCTGCCGCGCTGCTCGGCAGGAGCATGCAGCCCCACCACCCAGAGCACTGCCCGCACCGTGGCATAGCTGTGGGCAAGGGGGGACAGCAGGGGAGGAGCCGGGGGCTAGCTTCCCGGGCCAGGCAGGACGGTCCCGTGGGCCGGATGTGGGCCGCAGGCCGTAGTTTGCCCACTTCTGGTCTAGGGGCACTTCTGGTCTTGCCCACTTCTGGTCCCTGAAAGGGACGATGAATGAAAAAGTGAGACCGACTTGTCTAATTTCATTGTTCAAGCTGAGTGAAGTGCAAAAAGAGTAAACAAGTGAGTTTTTAAGAAATAGTCACTTAATAATCTAAGGCCCGGATCACGCAGACTCTTCCGCCCACACATAGCTTTACTCAGTTGAATAGTTTTATTGGAGTCAATGGGATTACGCACCTGAGTCAAGTCTGCAGGGAAAGGCCCTAAGATATTAACAGCACAGATAAGCAAAACAAAATAAAATAAAAAAAGTTACGATATATTAACCACCTGACAGTCTCCCTTTTAAAAACATCTTCCCTCCATTTACCAAAACTGTGCAAAGACCTACAAATAAGAGACTCCGGGTGCAGACACATTTGTAACAATTTATTGAATGAGGCAATAATAGACAGACTGGGAAAACAACAGGTATTCCATGCTCTGCTACTTGACTGGTTTTTTTTCTTTCCCTTTTTCTGGGGAGAATTTCTTAGACCGTAAGAACGTTATTTCATTGCCAAAGAAACACCGACTGTAAAGCCACTGGACATCTTCACAACGACAATAAAAAATAATAATAGTTAAAAAAAATAAATTGGAAAAGCAGGGCATTCTATGGAAATGTTTCCCTCCCCTCCTTAAAGTACAGAAAAACATATACAAAGAACATTTGATATTTTCATATAAAACAAGTAAATACAAGAATCTGAAAACTTCCTTGAAGGCGGAGCAAGACTTGGAGAATTTTGTTAAATGGCCACTTTAAAAAAAAAATTAAATACCATGCACAATTGCACACATCGAGGGAGGGCGTGGCTAAAAGAAGGGAGGAGCTTGCTTGGGGGAGGGGCAGTGTTTGTTGGTTTTGGGAAGCAAAGGTTTGGCCCATTGGAAAGTCAAGTAAAATCAGCCACTGAAAACACACCAGGCGTTTTTCTGTCTAGAGGTTTTCTCATGAAGTAGATTAAAAAAAACTCGCAGCAGCAAAGCCGTGCTGGAGATGCACATACAGCAGAAACAGGTGCGGGACCTGTGGAACGCGAACTGGGGCGGGGGGCTACGGGAGGAGTCGGTTTGATCCCCATATTTATTGAACAAGGAAACATTGTGAGGATTGGATATTCCAGGACGGGTCGAGGCTGCGATAGGGGATCATCTGTTTCATACAGTCCTATCCCGGCTCTGATAATACCAGTGGCAGACGTAGCTCAGGTGAACTCAAAGTACCTCTCAGCAACGGGGCTGAATAGGATTCAGTTATAAAACAAGCCCTGGGGAGAGGCAGGGGAAGGAAGAATTTGCCCTAGTCAATAACTCCTCACTCTCTTCACAGCCTTCCCCCACCGTAGTGCCCCAGCCAAAGCCCCCTAAGAGATTCTCCATTGCAGTCTAAATTTACAAACATGAAATAATAAAGAGAAGGGTCTAAAACGTCAGCTACATTTCAATAGCAGAGAAGATAAGGGCAGGTCTTGAGGGTGGATTACAGGAGAGCAAGGCAGGGGCATGGAGGGTGGGGGAACTCTCCATGGAATTTCTTAAGAACTTCAACGGCAGAGTTTTCCTCTCTTACGGGGACTGCGGGGTGATCAATTGCTGTCCTCTGAGGAGCTTTATCCCTTCGAAAGGCTGCTGCTGCCCCTACACAGTCGTGCATGCGCCTTCCCCGAGGAGAGACGTTTTCCAAACTCTCTCTCTTGAAACCTAATTCTCAAAGTGACGGGGCAGAGGGGCCGACCCCGGGAGCCACCGCAGAACTCACTGCCGGCTTAGCGGGCAGCAGCGCTGTTGGAACTCTCTCCAGCCAAGGGTACAGCTGCTTCCTATGGGGGGGGGGGGGCAATCTTCCCATCTTGCCCTGATTCTAACAGATATTTCATGCGGGGGTGTGAGGGAGGGGGGTTGTGTTTTGATTTAAATCTCCTCAGAATGAAAGTCCATTACAAATTGGCTTTCCACTCCCACAAGATCAGCGCGGCACTATAAAAATGCACTTAACACACATCCTCTGCTATTTTTTTTTCCTTTTAAAAAAAGGTTAACGAAACCTTTGCTTCCAAAGCTGGGAGACTCAATGCCACCTGATTGCATCTCTGAAGAGGCGTAAAAAAATTATTCACGTAAGAGACGAGGAAAAACATCATCATGATCCTGCCATGGCAGCAGCGTCACTGTTCCAAGGTCACAACCTCCACTGCCTGACCATCCATGGTGACGGCACTGTCTGCTATCCTCGTAGTAACGGGAGCCATGGCGACCTGAACGGGACCATTCCCTTGGGCGAGGCTGGTTACCACCGTCTGGTACATGCTGACGGGGATCTGGACGAGCCCTGCGGAGACAAAAGTAGGCGATGGAATTTGCAGATCGTTCAGACATTTCAACCGGACAAATCAAAGGACTCAGGCATGTTTTGATACATCTTTTATCCCGCGTGTGTTGCTATTATTTACATAGCTCCAAGAATCATAGAGTTCAAGGCCAGAAGGGACCAGATCATTTAGTGTGGCCTCTTGGCTATCACAGGCCACCAGCACCACCCAGCACCCACACACTAACCCCCAAATTAGATCAAAGTATTGCAGCCCACAGGAGACTAAACTAGTGCGTGCCACAGGCAGAGAACAGGAAGGACCGAGGTGCCCCAGTGCCCACGGCCCCTGCAATGGCAGATATACCCTGATGATCCTAGCAAGCGACCCGCACTCTATGCCACAGAGGAAGGTAAAGCCCACATATGGTCCCTGCCAATCTGACCTGGGGGGAAAATTCCTTCCTGACCCCCACATATGGCGATCAGTGAGACCCTGGGTACATGAGCAAGAACCAGCTGGCTAAGAATGCGAGAGAGAGAATGCTTGGTGTCCCAACTCCAGCCATGCGCACCCCTGGTGCTTCAGAGGACGGAGACAAAGAGACAAAACAAAACAAAAAAAAAACCACCCAACCACAGAATACATTTGGGGGGGGGGGGATCCCTTCCTCACCTCCACAGGTGACCAGATGAGCTTTAGGAACATAAATTACAAAGTGGAAGGGACCCCATTGGCTGCTGATCCCTGCCCCCACCCATCATAAGCAACCCTGTCATACAATCCCACTCATACATTTGTCCAGCTCTCTCAAAACTAATTGTTCCCCCCCAGTTCCTACTGGGAGGCTGTTCTAAAACCTCATTCCTCTGATGATTAGAAACCTTCTTCTAATTTCCAGCCTGAGTCTGTTCATGGCCAATTTATGCCCATTTTGTTTTGGTGCCAACTACTGTCCTTTAGCTTAACTAGCGCTTCACCCTCCCTGGCGTTTAACGAATTTGTAGAGTATTCAGATCTCCTCTCAGCCTTCATTTTGCTAGGCGAAATAAGCCATGCTCTTCCCGTTTCTTAAGATAGGCCCTTCCTTCCCCATATCATGTTAGTAGCTCTTCTCTGCACTGGTTCCAGTTTGAATTCATCTTTCTTGAATATGGGGTCCAGACCTGTATACAGTATTCCAGGGCGGTACTCCAATGGGTACATGGTGGGATACACGGGGAGAAGGTGGGGCCATGAAACAATAGGTCTCTGTCCTGAAAGGCTCTAAGGGCAAGAAAAGTGGGTGATTGGCGTTGGAATGCCTTGAAGAACAGGCTGGTTTCAAGGAGCACGGGAGCTCTGTGGACACTGACTGGGAGGCTGGGCCACACATGAGCATGCAAAGGTATAAAGGCAAGAGTAAGTGATGGGGACCTAGGAATTGGACAGGAGCAGGGACTGGCAGGAGTGGCAGGGAAAGTGGAAGTGGAGACCCTGGAGGGGAAGGCTAGTATAGGATTCAGGAAGGGAGGGGAAGATCTGTTTGGAGCAGCGGGAAAGTGACTTTGGCAGTAGCCAAACACTTTGTCATTGTTAAACCTAAACCAATTTTAAACAGTGCAATTTACTTCCCAGCTGAGGCTGTGTTAACTACCTGCATTTCATTCGGCTGAGCAAATGAGACCGGGCTGGTCACTTTCTCCCCTGAGCCTCTCACTTTAGTACAAGGATTCCAGGCTGCTTGTAAATTCCCCAGCCCCGCCCAGCCACAACAGCAAAACTGTTTTCATTCATATTTTAAGGAACACGTGCATGAAAAAAAATCTATTATCTGTGTTGTGTCCCAAGCTGCCTCCTGGATCAGATTGCACAAGGTTCCTAGTACTGAATTTAGACTTAACGTGAGTGAAGGCGAGAAGAGAGAGGAACAGTCCGGATTAAAGCTGGACAAGGTCACAGAAATCAGCCGGTAACTCAGTTTGTGGACACAGCTTTGTGCCAGTGTGCAGCATGAATTCAGCTCTCTTATCCATATGCATTATGACACAGTCTTCATGATCATATACTATTTTTTCCAAGGGACTCCTGCCTCCTTCAGTGAATGGATAGTTATTCAACATCCCTTTTTATCTGCCACATTCAGCGTGGTGCCTGAGGTTTTGTTTAAGGCACGCCATTCAAACCCTGCTCTGAATACAAAATTGTTCGTCTACTCCTGGGCGTTTCTATGGCACTTTCACCATCATGGCTGAGTGCTTCTCACACATTAATGAGGTAAGTGTGGTAAAGTGGTATTATCCCCATTTTACAGATGTGAAACTGAATGATTAAGGCCAAAATTATCAAAGGTCGGGTGTCCAACTTTAGATATCTAGGGCCTGATTTGTCAGAGTAATTAGCAATTTTATATCACTATCTTAAAAGCACAGCTCACGCCAATCAACTTCAATAGCAGCTGTGAGTACACGGCCGTTCTATAAACCTGGCTCCAAGAGTCTCACATTGGGCACTCAGAAAATGAGGAACACGCAGGTAGTGGCTACTTTATGACAAGTTTGGTTTAAGCGATTTGCCCAGGAACTGTGCAGCAGAGCACGGAGAGAGTCCAATTCTCTAGGGCAACCGTCAACTGCCTTCACCAGGAGACCATCCTTTCTCTTCCTGCAGTCCCCTGCTTCATTCACTACCCACCTTCCAACTTCTGCAACGAGAAAGGCAGGAGTCTTGCAGACAACAGCCGGATTCACTATGAGCACCAGTCAGCCTGCCCCTTTATCCCAGAACTGCCACCGGCCTCTCCAAAATAAACCTCATTTCTTCCTATCAGCTTTTCTCCTTTTCTCCTACTCCTGCTCTCACGATCATTTACACTGCTTCGGATTAAGGTCCAATTACGTGTCAGTAAAGCTTCAGGCTCCCTTCTGGTGCTATCGGAATAATCCTGTGATGTGGTAGGACAAATTCGGGTTAGTTTACTGCTCAGACAATAACAAAATGTATGAAGGCCCCAGAGGTTTCCGCGCAGTTTGGGCGATTAAGTGATGTTCAATAATTGCAATAAAGGTGCAGCCTCTTGCCTTCCAGTAACACCGTGGTACGTGCACTTGGATGCAAGGCAGAGCCGGGGAACACTGTAGCAGCATTGGCTGGACTATGGAATCCTAGAAATTAGCAAAGGAAATGACTTCTTAGAGCATCTAAGTCTATGCCGCTGGCTAGCGCAGGATTGTGCCTTACCCAGACCAAGTTCAAATCATTCTGGATAGCTGGATCTTTGATCCAGGTTTTCCAGACAGAGGAGTCTACTGTCAAACCACTGTCCTGTTTGGGCAATTTGACTCAGATTTCACTAGCCGAGGTCAGGACCTCTATCCCCAGAGGATACTATTTAATGACAGGAGGCAGCAGAATGTGTTTCCGTGTCCTCGCATCACTTTTTGTGCAGACAGAAAAGCTTAGGTCTTAATCATGCTGGCCAGGGGGGTGCCCCAGGGTTTGAGAGGGCAGAGAGTTCAGTAATACTGTGCACTGCGCTAGCCCCTTTCAGCTGAAGATCTCAACACATACTGCTAACAATTCAGGCTCACAAAACCCCTAGGAAGGAGGTATTCATCTGCCCACTTTACAGATGGTAGAAAGATCCAGAGGGGTTAAGTACCTGCCCCAAGATCACACAGCGAGTCAGTGGCAGGATCTGGAACAGAGAGAAGAGACCTGCTTCCCTGGGCCCTACTGTAACCACCGGCACCACCTCATATGACTGACACCTGCAGAGTCCTGCACAGCAGACTGTGGAAGGACTGGGGCTAGTTATGTATTTTCAAAGGGAGGCTGCGGAGGCTTCCATCTGAGCTGACATTCCTTCCGTACACACCGCCCCCTTAAAAAACAAAACAAAGTCTGAGATGGACTAGTCAAGAAAACCTCGCGGACTTCAGTTTGTGGGGGAGCCAGGCAGCAACCGGGAAGTTTGGCCTTAGGCCAGCATGGAACCTGAGCACCCCCCAGAGACATAAGAAGCTGGCAGATCTCCACTCCAGGCAGCTAGACTTACTGGTCCTAAAAGTTCTCCATTGTGCCACACTGGCCGAATGGGTCTCCTGGCCTATTTAGGAGCGATATTCCAAAGACTCCACACAATGCAAGGGACTGACTCTCTCTTATTGGCCAGGGAACACGCAAGGTTACAAAGCTTGATCCCCCTGCGATGTGCAGAGGGGAGCGTCGGTGCACACTAGGATACAGTTGTTGCCAGCCAGTCTTTACTGAGAGGGGGAAGACTGAATGGGATCAGTCTCTCTGGGAAGGATGGATTCCTGGTATCAGGGGTGTAGTCAAGCCCAGCCCTACCTTAGACACAAGCAGGGAATTATCCGTGAGAGAGAGGCTCCTTTCTACATGGGATTAAACTAAATCGCCTCAGTGGCTGAGGTAGAAGCCTTTCTGACAGGAGTGAGGTGGGTGAGGGCTGTAAAGTCTGCTGTGCATTAAAGCAGAGATGATCGCCCTTGGGAGAGAGATGATTAAACTGCAGATACACCGTAATGAGGTCTAGGATTGTCCCTGCACTGCATCTGCTGAGACCTGGACCCTGATTAGCCCTAATCTAGCTGGCACATGTTAATCTAAAGCATGGGTTTTGGATCCTTTCAATTGTATTAAATAAGAAATCCCTGACACAAAACTTTCGGGGCTGTGCAAATACAAATATCGGCAAAGAGGGGACAATTCCTTGAAGGAGATACGGCTATTACTGAGAGAGCCAGCAGGCAGAAATCATCATGCAGCTTCTTGCCAACAGATGAGTGGGGTACTGCAGGGCTCCATGGCGCAATGCTACACGTCAGCTGCGCACACAGTTCAGATCGGCTCCTGCCAGGTGAAGGCCTATAAACAAACATTATTAATAATGCACCAACCCGCACAGACAATAGAAGCAGGTTTTCAAAGCAACGGAGTGCGGAGATGGAGCAGGGACAGACCTTCACTCCTCTTTGTGAAGGGATTTTCTCCCTGAAACCAGACCTCGCCCACCACT